ATCGTTATGATAATTACTTCAAGGAAATGGTTCCCTGAACTCGGTGATGGACATGTCAGGGCTCCCCCCACAAACAAGCAGCTGCTGGAGTAGAGTGGGTTAGTTGCGTTTAGCTAAAAAGATGTTTGGTGGCTAGTGCTATGGCTGGGACCCTATATGTACTGTTGATGAAGTTAGGTGCTGTTCTGAGCATTATTTGTGGCTATAGAGTGGTTTTTTGGTTGAGGTTTGCAAATGGAGAAGTAGACCGCTGTGCATTGCTATCACGTCATTGCTGGAGTTGGTATAACTAGAGAAGCAAGCAGTCCACAATATTCATTTGACCATGACTTAAATTTACGCCAGAATATCCCTTTAAGAGCATCATAAGACTATAACTTTTTCAGACACCAGACTACATTTAAACTGAATTAAAACAGCATGGCTCTGAAGTAGAACAGTCCAGGTGCTAAAGTGGTCTACCTGCAGTCGAAACTGGTCACCTGTCACTGAAATAGTGACAAAAAAACTCTATGCTGTTGACTTTGGACAACATTATAATATTATTTTGCGCCATAAATCTGAAAACAGGTTTGTTTCTTCAGCTGCTCTTTTGACACCATCACTGATGATTAGAAAAAATTCTCTCAGAAGCTTTTGGTAAATTCCAAACCATCACGTTTCGTCTTCATTGACGCTCTTGTGGAATTGAGTCTGTGTTTTGGAGCTTTTACTGTTGAGACTGGTTTACTTTAAGACTCCTAGTTTTATCCCTCTCATTTATTCCCCCTTGTTTTGATCAGCCTTTGTGTGTAAATTAATTATGCTAAGCAAACAGGAAACCTGGAGCACTTCAGGTCAAGAGGGAAACGCTGGAAACTCTCAAGGGTCTAAGATCGACAGAAGCATCTTAGATGTGCTTTTTTTTCTGTGTTTTGCTAAAATCGCTTTTAATGTAAGGTTCACTGATCTCTGCTGGCTGGTTGCATGAACCTTTGTTTGTCTTTTTAATGCCCCCCCTTGAGCTTCTTCATTGTCAATCTTCTTCCTCTACCTTTGCTCCCCCCTGAAAACAGTTTCGGTAAACGCCATCTGCTTTGCCAAGGATATAATCTAACCTAAATGATCTGTTTCCAATCAGTCGCTCCATGTTTAGCATAAATCAAACCTCTTGTGTTATTTCCCTCATCTAGTTTGACATCCAGTTTTCAGATCGTTTGTTAATATCTGGAGTAAATGAGGTCGTAATGGTCCAAAATTACACTCAGGCTCGTGTTTCTGCTAAATACCAAGCAATCTCAGTGCAGCAAAAGAAAGGCGCGGAGGGTTTGTTTGTGCATATTTGCAGAAAAGGCAATCTACTGTAGGTTTCCTTGCTTGTTGAGGCAACTATCTTTGAAATGGCAGCCGAAGACAAAATGGTTTTATATGTAATTGCAGTCCCCGAGCAAGAAAAACACCCTATTACAAAGCGCTTTCTAGGACAGAGAAAAACAGTAAATAAAAAGACGAAGAAAACATTATATAAAAATGATAATAAATAATAATAAATACGGTTTCCAACAAAATCTAAAGTAAATTAAGCGAGATAGTGGAACTATACAGTATATAAAAGAGCCGCAGTCTGCAGTCTGCAGTGAAAACGAGCCTCAGATGGATCTCAAACGTCATGTGTTCCCCAGGAGACGCTGGCAGCCCATTGGCACACATTTCACACAGCTAACCCCTGACCTGAGAGGAAGTCTGCATCCAGGGTGAGGAAAGGACATCAGGACAAAGACAGAGGGAGAATCAGACCTCCTCAGCTAATTGTTCTTCCTTCAGCTGTGCCGGCGCGCACACCGGGCTCCCTCCTGTGTCCCTCTTGACTGATGTGCTGAGAATTAGATTCTGTCACTTAAAGACTCACCGGGGCAACAACCTGCAGACTTTTTTACCCGACCGAGACCGGGGACCGCCCCAGTGGTATTTGGGGAGTGACAATGAGGTCACATTCAGTTTCTACCTGCCGCCTGTGGTGACTGTGACTTCTGCAGACACTGACAGATGCTGCAGACTGTGAAGTATAAAAATAGCTTCCGTCCCTTTGACTTAAATGGAGAATATAATAGAGTTAACCATAAAGGTGCAGCCGTAGATGTTTAATTTAAAGCTCAAATCTTTCTTTAGAGAAGGTCAAAGGAGTTAAAAGCTTTTCATACATTAGAAAAGATGAGTCTAATACTTTCTCTCAGACAGATTTAACTGAAGAAAGAGATGTGAGAATAAAATGTAAAAGGAGGAAATAGTCGGGGAGAAGAAAGCTCTGCTGCCCAAAGGAGGACTGAGGATTGGGTGCTCCTTGGACCGCAGAGGTCAAATGGACAGAGAGTGGAGAAGAATTCACTTAAATATGGAGCAGTAATGGAAATGTTTCTGATTACTTTAGCAGAATGAGTCCAAACCTTTAAACAGCTTAACATTTCATTTCCTTCACTGGCCGTGGTCACGCAAAAGCCAGCTATTTTCTCACTTGTGTTAGAGGCAGACAAAGAGAAACGCTGTTAAGGCATCACAAAACATATTTGAACAGAGGTTAGGCCAACCGAGCGTCTGAAGACTGGATAATAAAATCCTGACAATACCAGCTGTCAGCCTTTTTTTAACCAGGACCACAATGTTTCCTCAAGCTTAACAAAGTTCGGTTGTATTTTCCTCAGAGGACAAAAAAAAGTCTCATAAATCATCGGTCACTTTCTGAGTAGAGCGGTTAAATAATTGATTCCCTTTATTGCAGTTAAACGAGGAGTTTTGAAAGTTAGTTCTGATTACTCTCATTATTAATGGCAGAAAAGTAGTTTCCACAGCTGTTTAAATTTGGGAATCACATGAAGACAATGAAATATACTTAATAACCTTAAATCTTAGACAGTCAACCTTGGAGCCATTTACAAAGATGTGAACTTTGACAGGTAAGTCAACAGACGTCAACAAAACAGCTATCGTTACAACCTGTTGATGGTCATACAGGCCACCCTCCTCCAGTCCTGCTTCAACAGAGATGGTCCCCATGATCCAAATGAGTAAACGTCAGACATTATAGCCATAAAAATCCAGATTATTATATAATATTATGATATATATTCAAACCATTTGTGTAGGTGAAGGGTTAGGACTAGACAAGTCTTGACTTCTACCCACTCCTTTTTGAACATGTATAACTTTTTGTCATTTGTTGTTGTATTCTTGACTTTTATTATTATTATTATTATTATTATTATTATTATTATTATTATTATTATTATTATTTTATGTTAGAATAAACTTCAATCAAAAGAACTTCAATCAACCAATCAGATTAGGTTGCAAACTTTTGCTCAAGTTGTCTGTGATCCATCTTACTGTGAAAGGGCAGAGTTTAGATTTTTACTCTTTCTCAGGTAAACAATCTTGGCATAGAAGCTAGCGAGCAAGTTAGCTTATAGCAGGTCTTTGAGAGATGATTTGCTTTTTATTTCACTGTTTTTACTTAGTATCTACAGGAAGTAGCTTATATTTCAAAATAAAATGAACAAACAGGAAAAGCAACCAAACACACAAGGCTGGTGACAAAGACTTTTTGTGCACTTTTTAAAAAAAAAAAACATTGATGATAGAAACTCTGGCTTTAGTTTTCCATAATGACGTACTCAAAAAAATAATACAACTAGGGTGACCATATTCTGAATCCATAAAAGAGGACACTACTACAGGGGCAGAGTGGCGGAGTTTCGCGTAGTAAATTTTGAGGGTTTTTCAGGTCGGGTCAGGTGTTTTACGTGCTTCTAACTCAGTTAGTCCACGTTACACAAACTCAAAACTTCCATACAAAACCCCGGACATTTGAAGGATTCTATAAACTCCCCCGGACAAGGACGGACAGCCCTTCCAAAAAAAGAGGACATGTCCAGGACGTATGGTCACCCTAATAAAACAAATGAAAAATGACATATAAAAAAAGTCTCTCAGTGGGAAATAATGTAATGCAGCTTGCAGTATAAAGAGAAGTGAAACACAGACCAAACACACATGACCCACTTTTTCATGGCAGAATGACTTCTGAAGCCGGGCCATTATCAGCTGGGCTGTGAGTTTTGATCAAAGATGTGAGAAAGTTTTTTTTTTTTTGATCATCTGATCCACTTTAAACAACATTTGAAAGGAGAGTGGGTAAAAAAAAATAAGATCAGAGCAAGTATAAAACTTCAAGATGACATAAAAAAGTTCAGAGATTTGTTTCATTTGACATAAAACCCTCGATTCATGTGCCTTTAGGCGACATCCTTGTATTTATTCATTTATTGAATAGTCTACCCTTTTATAATGACACAGATTTACAAACACCCGGCTCTCGTGGTAAGATGGATCACAGACAACTTGAGCAAAAAGCTTTTGTAGATTTAAAGCAATCTGTGAATGTTAAAGGATAAAACTGTGTTTCAAGTCTTCAACTAGACTCGGTTCATAGTGACTCTTTCTAACAAAGCAGGAAGGGGCGGGTCGATGGAAGTTCAACCAGCTTTAGCGCTGACATTATCGTTAAGTCGATTTTAAACAGAATAACTTTTGAATGGTAGATTAACTGTTTAATAAACTGTCTAACATTTCCTCCAACATGTTTATTTAATTTGTTCATTTCTCTATACTTAGTGTAAATCCTCAGGGGTCACTACAGACATCCCCTTATTGCCAATAACTTTTAGAGTACAGCAGAAATCCATCAGAGTTTCACCATTAGAGTTTTTGTGGATACAGTGGAGCTCAGATGGCTTTGTGAATGAATGTTATCGTGTTTTCTTTGCTCATAAGTGTAAGTTTATGGAAATACTAATGCAGGCTTTACATGCGTAAGCACATGTCGGTTTTTTCTAAGCACCGAGGACAAGACAAGGATCCATCACACAGTATTACACAATAAAATCCTCTTGTGTGAGGAGGAAAAGAGCAGGGTTATATCTGCTCTACATGCAGCAGAGGCCTTAGGAGATCACAGTGCTTGCTGAGCATTAATATTCCTCTTTCTGCACCAGTGCTCAAAACCTACAGTGCAGATTGACAGCTGCAGCGTCATCAAACCTAACCCCCAGTGCACCAACACATTTTCTCTTTCGCCTTATTTCCAGTTAAAAGTCTGCACAATTACATCAGTTAAACAAAAGCCACGGAAATTGGACATTAATTTCAATTTGGGCAAAAGCTCTACATTTCCACAATCACTGGCTTTCTTTTTCAATGTCATGGCTGCTGATAGTTGCAAACCTAGAGTTAGCCTAGCCTACACACAGGAAGTACTCAGTGTTTCTTCCCATCAAGTACTACAGCACTCGCACAGGTTGGCTGTGCTTGGTGAGACAACGGTTTGGGTTCAGGTCAGTTAACAGGCCTGATAGAACCAAACCTGGCAACCTCCCTGTGACCCCAACAGCTGCGTCCTTCAGAGAGCACATTTGAAGACCTGTTGCATCACAGGGGCAAATCAAAGGTTGACCCAGTGTGAAGCTTCCTTCACACGACACCCACAAATTCTTCCCAGGCTATCTAGACATGAAGGATGTGTTTGCTGCATCCGTTGCAGTCAAACATCTCCTAAAATTCAGATGAAACAATGTGGTATATTCTCGACTTCACCAAGTATTAACCATAGACTGTTTATACCGTGGACAACATGGTTCCACCTTCCGCCAGTATACGGATTTGAAGCCGAATAGCTCTTGTTATTTCCGCATTTTTCTCCATTTCCTGAAACCAACATTGCGCAGTAGCATTGTACGCATTCAACAGGAGAGTCGCTGTGATGACGCTCGGCTCAAACAGCGTATCCCCCGGTGATCTACGCAATCCTTGTACGCCCATAGGCTGTATCAGGTGTCAATCGTAGAAAACATGAACCCCCTAATAACTTTTTAAAAATGGAGCTGTACAGAAAAAAGAGGACTTGGGCACAAACCAGTCTTATAGTAACTACATGTCAACATCGCAAGTAGGGAGGAAAAAAAATTATGTTCTGTGTAATAAATGTCTTAAGTTTCTTACTGCAGCCCGTCACCAGATGGTGCTGTTCTCGAGGTGGCTTCACTCAGCGAGGAGGCAGACGCTGTCCATTCTATATACAGTCTATGGGATTAACTCAACCTGTGACTTCAAATTATCTTAAAAACACTTGGGGGTCCTGCTGTCAAGATTGCGAAGTGAAAGAATCAGCAGATATAGAAACAATCGCCAGGAAATCCGCCAGAGACAAGATCATCTTGTTTTAGACCCATGCCCTGTGTACAAGTTTGGTCATCCAATGATTGTTACCTCTAAATTGTCGCTGTTGTATGTTAGTTCTGTGGCTAGAGGTCGTTGAATACTTTATTCTGAGCCTCTCAAGTGTGAAGATTTAAACATTGAAAGGCTCTGGGAAAGGGAAGCGAGGTCTGGCGGTGATGGTGCAGCAGTAGAGGACAGTGAGGAAATTAGATGGGGTTCTGTACCAGAGGATGAAGATGAATAGTTATTTTGACCTACACTCAGAAAGGGTCAAAAAGCTTAGAGACAGCAGAGCCGAGGACCGTGCCCCTGTGTCTTTGGTGTGCCTGAAATAAAACATGTACTACCTCTAAGCCTTTTCACGTCCAGTAGTTACCAGAATGTCTCTTTTATTGCTTCCGCCATCATGTGTCGTCAAACACAAACATTATATTTAAGTTCATGTTTTAATGACTGGAGAAATGGTATAACCTGTCACCAACCAACATATTTCATGATTAATAGACTATAAAAGTATCCTTTCATTTGACAACAGCTTGTGCTAAGCCAACAATATCTTTTCACCATTAACAACGTGAAAGGTGGAGTAAATACAGGGCTAAAGGTGGCCTAATTAATACTGCTCTGTGCTGCTTTCAGGGAGCGGTGACAGCTCTGTAACCACAAAATGGGCTTTGGGAACGGCAACAAATCCCTGAGCATTTTTTTTCCACCGGTTTGGGCTGAGAATAAACAAGGGAACTTGTGTTTTTCTCCCGCTAGTCATGACCACCCACACACGGGCTGAAGGACACAAAGGTCCTGTCTGAGAGGTATGATCAAGAGTAACTTTGCATACAGGCTACAGTTGGTGGTGTTTGAGCACAAAGTAGAACCTTTTTCCGATACAATTGGTGTCACTTTTACAAACTTTAAAAAATATCTTATTTTTTATCTAAATAATAAAGGCAAGTTTATTTGTACAGCACCATTCATACATGAGGCAACTCAAAGTGATTTAAAGATGCAAGGAAACATACTGAAAATGAAAAAAAGTGATTAAAACAATTTTAAATCAATAAGATATACAGAGACAATTTTTTTTTTCATTTGCCCTAATTATTTATGAAAACCATTGTTTACCAGAAAAACAGAACAAGTCGCAAGCTTACAGACCTTGAGCTCCTCAGCACTTGGCCTGAGTCTCCAAGTCTCGACAGGTCTCCTAGTTTTCAGTGGGCCCCTGACCTGGAACTCCACGGCCTTTTACCTGTTCTTCCCATTTCATTAGTTACGTCCCAATTTAGTTTTTTATTCCCCTGAGAAATGCAAGCAACAGAGGAAGCATTTGCCAACTTAAAATTAATAGAATATTAAAATTAATTTCAAATCATTAACGTTGAAATCAACCAATCAATCAACAGTTGAGTTTGACACAACAGCAGATACCAAAGTCAAAGGAATTGACACCATAGGAAAGCATAACCTGAACAGACTTAGAAAGTTTAAAACTGACTGTTATACCTTTGGTTTTATAATTCAAAATGATTTTTTTTAAGTGTTAAGACTCTGTTCATATCAACGAAGTACTTGGTTCCAAGAACTCATTTATCAGGACTCCTCTAAGTGAATGTTTGCTGGTCCACGTTGGACAGGTTATGCTCAGACAGTCTAAAGTGTGACAAGCATGGTTTGATATTTGGTATTGTTGGTTGTAGAGGTTGGAGGTGCTTGTTGGTTGTTAAACATAGCAGTAAGTGGTTGAGGTGATTGGGGGTGCTTGGTGCTTGTGGTAGTTTTCCATGTTTCTTGGTTATGGTGCTTGGCTGAGTTTCTTTGGTTGCGGTTGTTGGGTGTGGTGGTTGGCGGTGATTGTTGATTGTGGTGGTGGTTGGAGGGGCTTGTTAACGTTGATTGTTGGTGGTGTTTTTTTGGATGTGGTGGATGTTCCTTGTTGGTTGTGTTGGATGGTGGTGTTTTGTTGTTTGTCTGTTTTTCTTTGTGTTGGCTTTTGTGTGTTTTTGATGTTGTTGATAGTTAGAACTGTTTATTGGTTGCGGTGGTTGTTATCAGTTGGAGGTACTTTGTGTTGATTGCGGTGTTTTGTAGATGCAATTGCAAGCATGCGATTAACTCTGAGGTAGGAGTTTCATGACTAATTATTTTTACAAGTTGCCAAGTCAATTAAAATAGAAGTTAACTTGTCAAATAGTTGTTATGTAGGAAAGTTGCAGAACTAGTGCACAATAAAAGTTGTATTTTGTGTATTAAACTCACAACTTAAGCTTTCCACAGAGAAATGAAACTATTCAGACTGAAATTTTATTCATTTGAAGAGAAAATATAACAGTGTTGCGTGACTAAACATAAAACACCTTTAGCTGCATGTCAGAGCCAAGGTCAGCTCCTTCCCTGTGGTATTGACTACTCGATGAGTTGGCAATTGCCCACAGCGCCGAGTTTTAGTAGTAGTAGAAGTTTGAGTCGTCAACAAATTGATAAGTTGTGGAAAAGCTTATGTAGAGACAACGTCAAGACTATTTGCTGTTATAGACGATACACAGTGGTGTGTCAAGCTTACATTTTTAACCACAAACAAACATTTTGACTCCAGCTCAGAATGATTTTGTGGTTTATCCCTCAGGCTGTCCAAACAGCGATTCTTACCAGGTTCAGGGTTACTTCTAGAGTGATTGAATGAAACATGGAGCATCCCAAAGCAATGCCTCCAATAATTGAAAATAAACTTCATTAAAGCTCCTGTTGGGAACATTTGGCTTGTGTTGATTGTAGCACCCCTTGTGGATAAAAAAGGGTGTGCTAATACAATACTTTGTCTGACACTTGACCCTAAGGAGTGGTTGAAGGTGCTAAATGTCACCGTATTTATATAATCAATGTTACTGATGGTCTCATTTGCTTCAGTAGCTCAGAAAGAGTTTCAGTAAGTTTCATTATACTCTACACAGAAACTTTACACATTTGAAATGTGTTTTTTTTCTACTGTATGAATAATATTTGAAGCCTTTTCTAAATGTGAGTTAAATTAAAACGTTGACTTGAGTGTTATCTCACTGAGAAAGCTTATTGCACGGCTGAGATGCTGATCAAAGCAGCCCAATCTTGAGTTTAGCATTTGCAGAACAACTTTCCTCCTATAAGTAAACAGCACATGGATTATCCGAACTCTTCAGGGAGTAGGTACAACTGAGGATGCATATCATAAACAAATATTTGTTAACAACATTTAATTAAGCCTGTGACAAGATCCAGATTAGTTTTGGGCCTCTGATTCTTTTCCGCCCTGATGACTTGTTTTCTCCACAGTGCACCGATCATAAATCTGAAACAAACAAAAAAGAAGTAACAGCTCGGCGTCTCAAGGAAAGCATAAGCTCCTGGCCATCAAGGTGCCACGGAGCTCAGCGAGGAGTAGTCACTGTTCAGCTTGCTCTCATATTCTCCCGGCTGGCTCCAAGGTAATGAAAACTCAAAGGATACGGGGAGAAGCCCCCCTGAGCGTCAACACATTGCATAATAGGCACTTCCTTCAAAATGCTAACAGCCCCAGAAAAGGTCTTACCATTTCAGAGATTTGACGCATATAAGCAGGGGTGGAATTCAGAGAAAGGAAAACAACATTTTTCCACACTTGACAGAGCAGACTTACAGTAACTAACAAGAAAAATGAGGTTATATGTGTTTTCTTCCTTTCTTTTTGGACTGTGAGAAGAGTTTTACTCTTTAAAAATGACACTGCAGATAAAAGGTACCAGCTTCTGTTCCTGAAAAAATAACTTTTACAGACATATACATACACTTTTGTACCTTTTCAACAAGGTAAAGCAAGTTTAATCTTAGAATTTAGCTTTTGGAATAATGTTATTGAAGAATAATGAGTAAATGTAGATCCCAATAGTTTTAATACTCAAAGAAACAGATGTGTCCTTAGTTTTCTCCCAAAATTAATCAAATCCTGAACAGACAATTTCGACCTGAGAAATCCACTGATTTATTATGCTGCCATGAGGAGCTGCTGCTCGTTTTACATATCTATTATGGAGGACAGTCATTATGTATATTCTCTCCCTGGTGTCCTTGTTTGTTGTCTGCACATTTTCCCATGGTAGGTTTGTGTGTTTATCTTCTCAAGTTAATTTTTAACCCTCAAAATAATAGCAGAGACAATTTTAATGAAAAATTCACAGTGAAAACATTTTTATCACTGATTTAGAGCCTTTACAAACATGAATAGATGATTTATTATTTAAATCAGACAGATCTCTGGGGCTAGGGAAGAGGGTTTAGGGTGTTGGGGTTAGAAGGGTTAGGGGGTTAATGTTAGAGGGTTAGGGTTAGTAGGGTTAGGGTAAGAGAAAACGGATTAGGGTTAGGGCTAGAGGGTTAGAGTTGAAGGGCAAGGGTTAGGGGTTCAGGGCTAGAGGGTAAGAATTAAGAGCTAGAGGGTTAGGGTTCGTGGTTAGAGGGTTTGGGTTAGGGGGTCAGGATTAGAGGGTTGGGGTTAAAACAGTTAGGGTTAGAGGGTTAGGGTCAAAAGGGTTAGGGTTAGAGGCTTAGGGTTAAGGGGTTATGGTTAGAAAGTTCAGGTTGAGGGTTAGGGTCAGAGGGTTATGGTTCAAGGGTTCGGATTAGGGCTAGAGGGTTGTTTTCAGAGGGTTGGGATTAGGGATAGAGGGTTAGGAGTTAGGGTTATAGGGTGAGTATTAGGGTAAGAGGGTTAGGAATAGAGGGTGAGGATTAGATTAGGGTTTAGGGATAGAGGGTTAGGTTTGGAGAGTTCAGGTTGAGGGTTAGGGTCAGAGGGTTAGGATTAGGGTTAGAGGGTTAGGGTTGGGGAGGGTTCAGGTTGGGTTAGGGTCAGAGGGTTGAGGTTAAAGGGTTAGGGTTAGAGGGTTAGTATTAGGGCTAGAGGGTTAGGGGGTTAGGGTTACAGGGTGAGGATTAGGGTTAGCGTTTGGGTTAGGGGATGGGTGTCAGAGGGTTAGAAGGTCAGGGTTAGAGGGATAGAGTCGATGTGTTAGGGTTGCTTGACATCTTTACATTTAAGTCCAAGACGGAACATTTCTGAATTATTATATAAACAAGCTCGGCCTGTCTTGGGTTAGTACTGTGTTACTAAATGACATGCTGTTTAAGAAAAAAAGTGATTCTGGTGTGGCAGAAATCTGCTGTTTTCCCACAGCGACTTTAATTCTGTGTCATTTTTTGACTCGAGGGGCATGTGTAACTGTTCAGCTGTTATATGCTTGAAGTAATTTCTGTGAAGAAAATGTCAAACATTTTAAATAGTTTCACATCGCAGCTCAGTTATAAATTACATTATTAGTAAACACAGCTGGCCACAACATACAAAAGGAGCTCTTTCAGACATTCCCCCTCCTGCTGGACTTTGTTTCTCTCGAATTTTACAAGACTAAATATCATGTTAGTATTTCCTGCTGAATATGTTTCCTTTTGTCATTTTAAACAAGGAAAACAATATTTTGAAGTTGTGTAAAGTAGGCTATTTATTTCCTTTTTCTTACCTGTGCAAGGACTGATTTTTTTGTGTCAATTTTGTCCCTTTTTATTTTTATTTCATTTTATCTATTTTGTTTTACTTTATTGCATTGGTAACAAACATATTTACTATCATTAAAAATGTATTTTTTTTTCTTAATCTTGTCTAATTTATTTCATTTTAATTTTTATCTTTTTTATTATAATTTAATTATTTAGATTATTTCATATAATCTTATTTTATCTTATTTTATATGAAACAGTTATCATAAATTGTTGCATATATATATTTTTTAAATTCCAGCCCATTATTATTTGCGATGAAGATCCTTTGAGATTTGCTGACAAATTTAGACACATTTTCATCTTTTATATCCTTCACTTCCAGCCATGCAGATAATAATGAGTACTTTCTTTTGAAGCACCGAAATACGAAAAGGAAATCAATTGTGATAAGACCATTCAGTGATGATGACACGTCACCCCCCCCTCCTTATTTTGGTGGGTAAAGGTGATGAAACAGCTTCAGAATGAGGGTGCAACATCCTTGACCACTTCCCGTGGCATTAACGAGGAAGAACTTGTTTAATACCAAATTCATGGCTCATTAAGGAGAAGTGCCTGTCCCTCTGGTGTTTCCTGCTGTCCTCAGGAAATCCACTGTTTCGGTTGAATGGTAGACTTACTACTATCTTCAACTAGCAGGCATGCTCTGTGTGCCCTGGCTCTTTGTCAAATCCATACAGAGAGCCTCTTGGTTTAAGTAATGAGAGTGCTGATTGAATATTTAAGCACCTAATTAAATTCCCTCTTTACACGGGGGGTGCGCTGCAACTTGGTGGCACTCGTGCTGGAGTAGCGCTGTGTGTTTGAGAGCTTGTGGTGTGGAAATGGACGAATTTGCTTTCAACAATGAACATGACATGACGGATTATGAGGGGCTGTAAAGAAAGGGGATTGAGAGGATTTAGAGTCATTGTTACCATTGTGGTTATCTGGAAAAAACACATTAGTTCATTCGATCACTTAAAACAAAAGCCTATATTTTCAATATCAAGGTGATTTTTCAGAGGCTTAAATTATTCTGTTTATGCAAAGAGCTGAACAGTTCAGCTACAATGAGGAAGATGATGATAATATTGAGTTCACCTTGATGTAAATCAAAATGACAGAAAATGCTAGCACCTTGTCCCGCCAGACTTGGAGCAACATTTGTTTTCACCCCCTATCTACATCTTTGCCCGTGTTCTACTAATTTTCAGGTGTGCGTCATGGAGCAGCCTCTAAATCTTTCTCTGCCGTCCTGATCCTCAAACTGCCAGAGACCCTGGCTCACCTGTAGATGAGCTAATGCCACCCATCTGCATTTAGGGCCAGTTACCTCGGCTTTGTCTCTGTCATTGAACCAATATTGCTTCTTAAGAATGTCAGTTAAAAGGTTTTTATAATTTTTCAAACAGACATCAATGTTTAAAATTGATTTAAAAGAGTTAACTTTGATGGTAAAGTATAGTAAAAGTTTACCAAAGTTTGTCCACTAGAAAGGTACCATATTCAAGATGGCGTCCATGATGGGTAAGACGCCCAGGGGAGACACCCCAGGTGAATGGGGTAAAATTTTTAACTAACAGATATCACCATGAAACTTCCCAAGTTTATAACTTACATTATGACAAGTATTTTTTGTATTACAAGTTTTGTCAAATGTTATGTATGAATATGTAAATGAGGCAATATCTGATTAAGTGTAAGGGTTACATTGGGGTGGCATCTGGGTATTGGGGTAAGGGTTAGGGTTTTGGAATAGGGGTTAAAATCACTGGCCAGGACTTTTTTAGGAGCATGTTTTAGACCATCTGAAATCAATTGGTACAAAAAAAAATAGGAAAATTTTTTTAAATTTAGGATTATGGGGTTAGTTCAGTTTTAGGTTCTAGAAATGTATGCAAATTAGTGCATATTTTATGAGATATTGCCTCATTTACATGTTCATACATAACATTGACAAAACTTGTAATACAAAAAAAAATTGTCTTCATCTGTTTGTTAAAAATTTTACCCTATTCACCTGGGGTGTCTCCCGGGCTTCCTAGCTATCATGACCGCCATCTTGAAAGTGACACCTTTCTAGTGGTCAAACTTTGGTAAACTTTTAGTTTGTTATTAAGGACACCTAATACTATAAAAAACAGCTGAGAAACCTTTTATTAGAATTTTTTTTAGGGTTAGGTGTGTTTTTGTTTCATATATGTACCCGCCTCATTGGTTTTGGAGCCGCAAAACCTAAAGTTTCTCACAGGAGCTTTAAAGTCCCACTCCAATCATTTTTTTCACTACTCAAAGTGTCCTCAGTGGTCTTTAAATTGTGATTATGAAGTTTTTAGCCAAAATCATGTTACCTGTGTCATTTTCAAGGAGTTTTCTTCTGCAGAGCTCCAGTAGCTCATTAGCAATTCACCTCTGAGTCATGGGTGGAGACAACGCTGCTCTGCACACTCCTCTTCACTCCAGCTTGCTGCCTTACGTTGCTGGTGTAGTAGAAGTGGCAGGTAACATTGGAGCTATTTAGCTCTCAGACACTAATGTCTTTGGGGACGTGATGAAAGTTAATATCAAAAATAGCTTTATTACAAGCATCGCAATCCGCTAACGCACACACTTGTTCCGCGACCGTTCCCTCTACTTTTTGGAGTATGGCCTGTATAGCGGGGCTCCAGGGGCGGAGCTTGGATTTGGGAAATCTCACTGTGTCTTAACCTGCCATTTGGGTCTGCCAAAGATTCACAGCGATTTGAGTGAAGAAATCCTCAAAAACAATTTTGCATTTATTTTCCTCATGAGATGTCCTGTAGCATTAGAAAAATGCCGTATGGGCATGTAGACAACAAGAAAAAACATGATTTTTATTAGAACGGGTCTCCAAGTATAAATAAAAGATATTTGATCAATTATATTTACTGCCCAAAGCTGTAATTCATTCAGGTCCTGAGGCAATAAATAACTACAGCCCATCACCCATGTGACCACAGCACAGGCCCAAAGCACTTCTGCAAACATCCATGTTGATCCAAAGGTTAAGAGCAGCTGCAAACACTCAGAGGCACACGAATACTGAGAAGCTTTGGGTTTCTACAATGAATCTTTCTACATGTACACGACCACGGCGAACTACAACTGGCTGCGATTCGGCTGATCCATCAGGGGTGTAGTCATGTGCCGTTTACTCGCAGAGGGGTGTGAAGGAGACGTGCAACATGTTTTTTCCCGCAGTAAAAGCTTAGTAATGTTTACACGTCTGCCAAAATATGACTCTAACTACCCTTTAAACCGTGCATCAACTCTTCTCACAGGCTTTTTTTCCACCTCTCCTTGCATTGCTAATCTGAGTGCTGGAGTAAGCACTGCTGCTGGATGAGCTCCTGGGACGGAGGTTTCTGCTTATTAAGACATGTCCAACAAAATACAGAGATAGGCAAATTCTATCCCTTCCTTTGGGGAAATACCACTAAATTTTCTGGCATTACAGGACTTTTCAAATGCCCCAGGTGTACTGCATGAGTAATATTTCACAATCTCAGTAGAAGCTTACATCAGAAGAGAAACGCTATGATTTAGAGGTCACATAGCTTCACATCATTTGGCAGGAGGTAGGTAAAGCTACATGTCAAATAGTTTGTCCATTCTCAGCACGTATATGAGTTTGCTGTTACACTTATACCCGTTTTAGCCCATTCCTTCAAAAGCAGTGACAGGGACAAATCCCCTAAACCATCCAGCTGTTCTGTTCAATTATAAGTGAGAGCTGAATATATCAAATGAGATACAGAAACTTCTGGGAATGAAAAATGCTGCCTTTGAATACATGTTCTCCTCACAAGATTTGATTTCCATATGGTGAAGGGGGATTTTATGTATGGATTTTAAACAAATGTGATGCACAAAGAACCTCAGGTGTTAAATAATCAAGGATGTAAGTGCTAATGACCTAGTCCATATTGGAGCGTCTATTACTGTCTCCACACACAAAGTACGAGTAAATTCATTCACGAAAATTAGTTACAGGTCAAGTCAATGCAAAGACGCGATTAGACGCTCCTACTACTCTCGCGACACGAATTATGTGAATTGGGCGGGAGCTGAGAATGTCTCAACTTGAGTGGATATTCATGTCGCGATAACTAATCAGCACAAAGGCTGCCGGTTGACATCTGAACACGGACGGCTCTTCACTGGTATCTAAAATGGAGGACAAACTGATCTTTTCTTTCAATTACCGAAAACGATATAAAAAGGAGCTCACCCAGGGGCAATTGGGTGAGGGGGTCGGATTACCTGGTCAGTTGTGAAAAATCTTTGTCTACCACTGCCGGTTGCACTGGCAGGGATTACTGTTGAAATTACTGTTGACACATGGATGAAGTAAGTAGATACTATTCATTCACGCGTCTAGATTTATGGAAATTAAGTGTGTCGATGATTTTACTTGCGCTTGGTGTGAGTGCCCCATTACTGGCAATTTCCACCGCATCCGGAACAGCTATGGAAAAGGCCGTACCACCGATCGTATCTGATCATAACCATTCAAGTCAGTGTGTCATGTCGGATGCAGTGGAAATCCTGGGTCAGAGTAAACATGCAGTTTCTATTTAAAAATGAAGCTCTTTCCAAAACTGGTCCAGTAGTTGAGTCTAGCATACTCTAATTTTGAAAGTCCTGATGTCAGCCTTGATTCTGCAGTAAAGGTACAAGTTGAGATCCTAAAGCCCTAGACACAAAAACCCAGTTTCATGTTAAAACTGTGACTAAATCTGAAATAGATTCCACAATTAACACTGCAGAGCAAAACCTTAGCATAGTGTGTTCCAGTGCACCCATATCTAATAACACTCCCGGTAAAGAATTCACTTCATATCACGCCGCTACAAGAAGTGGAGGAGTGTGTTTTGATCCTATATTACACAATCCCTCATTAAGATCCACAGAGATGCTCACCTCCATGGGCTGTTGCCTGTTAAAGAATAATACTCCCATGGGTGGCAAGCTCGGCACACGCACAGAGCCGCTTATTAGCACATCTTGGTGGGAAACACTATTTCTATATTACACCTATTGCTGCTGGAAGAGCAGCACATAACATAACAGGTGAACAAAAACGTTAAAGGGATATCCTGGCATACAATTAATTCAGGGTCAAACACACCATAACACCGAGATAGACACCCCCGCGAGAGATGAATGTTGCTGACCGTTTGCTTCTCTAGTTATACCAACTTTAGTAACAACTGCAGGATAGCAATACACAACAGTCTGAGGAGCCATAAACAAACCACAATCAAAACGCCACTCTATAGCCACAAATAATGCTCAGAACAGCACCTGACTTCATCAACAGGACATATAGGGTCCCAGCCATAGTACTAGCCACCAAACATCTTTTTATCTTTGACTAATTTCTTTGGTAAAGAGACTAAAAATAACTCACCTACTTTCTTCCAGCAGCCACTTGTTTGTAGCGAGACCTCGGGCCAGTCCATTACGGACTGCTGCGGGGTGACGCAGCTCAAGGAAGAACATTTACGATAATTACTTCATCATTTCCTTGAAGTAATAATCACCATATTAATCACTTTGCACTGCAGACGCGGTAGTTCCTCTGGCTTAGCATCTCGGTCTGATTGTATTTCCATGAAGAATCCTGAATTGATTTTACACTGGAATATCCCTTTAAAGGTAGAGAGATGGGCTCATACTCACTTCTCAAAAATCCTTGTTGAAGCATGGAGGTGAAGCAGGTGAATCTCCTCTGATATGTTCCTGAATTTTCTGGGGTACATGTCTGAAAAGTAAAAATAGAAAGTCTGATTAAGTCTTTGAATGAAACATTCTTTGTTAATATCAGATCCTATTTCACCTCATTATATCATTAAACCACCACAATAAGGTGAGCCAGGCTTGGTGTCTAAAGGTCATCATGGAGTCAAAACCATGACGGATTAAAGGTGGTCTCTGCTGGAGGTTATGAATCTCTGTTTTTTTTAACAAACATGTTTATGACTTCAAGAAAAAAAAACAGGCTTTTAAAGTCGTGTCACTAACTTGGTCTGAGTCACTCTGTATCCCAGCATGCTTTACATGGCAAAGTGGTTGTTAAATATCAACACTATGGAGACTTAAATGACAAATAATATCGTAGACCTTTTTAAAAGCCATCCTTCCATTTAATTGTCAGCTTCATACATTTAGTACTTCTCTTAAGACCCCAAAGTGAGTCTTTGTTTTGTTCCCTCTTTCTCTGAATGTTGAATTATTGTTCCTTTAATAAAAACGTCTTACAACAACACATCCTGATTTTCGTCTCTGGCAGCATGTGGTTTCTATGAAGCCTAGAGATTCTCCTGACATGTAAAGAAAATCACTGTCAAATGTATGACATGAATATTTGACTTATGCTTCCAGAGTTTTCCTCAAGGCATAGATCCCTTTTAACTCTGCCCCGCTCTTTATTCATCTTAAATGATTATTCATGTGACATTTCAAACAACCCTCCACTGAAAGGTAAAAAGGTGTATTCCCTAAATGCACATCAGAGGAAATCAAACAGCCAGTGACTTTCAGTCCTCGGAGGCAGATTATAATAAGGGGAGCCCTGAATGAAGGAGACTTTGCTGTTAGATCCCGGTGGGTTGTGTCTCTTCAAAATAATAAAAGAAAATACTGATCGTGTTTAAAAGAGGAGTCATGTACACGGTCCAAGGAGTGAGGACAGGAGGAGTGAACTGAGAGTAAAAACAGCCTCTGTGTCCACTAAACAGGAATAAAGCTTTGTAAAGTGGTCAGTTTTCAATGGTATAAACTGGCTTTGTAGTGTGAAATGCATGATTTACATCACATCCTACAGCTCTACAAAATGCATTGACACATTTCAAGTGTCTGAATGTGGCTGCAGAACTGGTTTTAAAGATTTTACAGAAAACTCTGACTTTATTCTGAGAGAAAATCTTGAAAAATCTCACCCTGAGTACCGACTGCAGCAGTGACAGCGAAGAGAGACATCAGAGATAAGTCACAGAGAAATCAGGAGGTCCTGGTAAGTTCTTGGATCAGTCACTGTCTGAACTGTCAGACTGACACACACACACACACACACCCACGCACACCAGCATAAACAACATGGTGCATGAGCAGCTCACCTATAAACTAGGGCTGTCAGCATCAGTGCGTCAAATGTAATACAGCTAGGGTCTGAAATTGACTCATGTAGAAGTCTTTGTTTTTATACCCCAAGCTATTTTGTCCCTTGTGACACACTGTAGTTACACTGCTGCAGTGTCCTCCTGCCTCTAGCTTCTGCTGGGATACCTCACACTCCTGAATGGCACTTTTATCTTAAAATACTTCCATAAGGTTCAGTCCATGAGTCAAAAGTAGTTTGCACTTTGATATTTACTACTGTAATTTTCTTCTTTACATTAATTACTTTCAGTTTGTGCTGCTTATGAGTAAAATATTCAGATGCACCTAATCAGACTGATCTCAGGAAGCACTGTTGAGGGTCTCAGCAAGTCACCACAGATCTGTGAATAATGAAGCTGTCTACTACTTCTTAGTCATGGTTTCAGACCACAGTGGTGTATCAGTACAGCATTTATTTGTACAAGAAAAGTAGATGTGAAGAACACAGAGTGAATTTGATATTGCATTCAGTTTGAAGAAAGAAAGTATAAGAGCTGCTAAGACTGTTTTGATCAAAATTATCTGTATGGCAATTTAAAAAGTTGAACATTGGACAGCACTGAGATATTTCGGTAGATCTATTTGTATTCAGCTCTGAACTTTTCAACTATAAAGGTTTGGAGAATATTTTGCACCAAACTTGATGAAGAGCTTTGTGGATGTGTTTTCTTTCTCTGTGATTAAAACTTTGTTGTCTTCAAAAACACCAATCCCTGGTCCAAAGTGCTTTTTGGACCAGAAGTTCCCCTGTCCTAAACTATAATCTTTCTCTACATTACATTCAGTATTTGAAAAGATTAAAATCCATTTAATAAAGATGTCGTTTTACAGATTTAAAAAGCCTGTCTCTTTCCCTGCAATCAAAAACCACAAAAACAGAGGCTGACTGTTCTGGTTTTCTACCTTTGGATTCATTATTCACTTGCAGAGCTTCACAGACTTTTGTGAGGGTGACTGAGCACAGGTTCAACTTCACACTCTTAATACAATGAGTTTGACCTCCAACAGCTTGAAGATGAGGAGTTTCCTCAAATCATCGATCCCCTTGTGCTCTCGCATTATCTGCATCGCTTACAGCTCACTTTGGGTGGGATGATTTTCCAAGTCATCTGCTCATTTAGTGATTATTTTCGCAGTGACTTGAAAGGCAAAGCCCCGACCCAGCGAATCTCTCTCACAGTCAACTTTTCAGAGTGATTTCAAATGCTAACGTTGATCATTTCTTTCTGGTGCAAAAGCAGGAAACTGCAGAGAGGTTATTTTTTTCCCCCTTTTCTTACCTGAAGAGGAAGTGTAGATACCAATGTTTGATTGACAGCAGCTGGTTTGCTAAGGACAAGGCCATGCAGGGGCAAACAGGCCTTGTGGCGAATGTCTTCAGCTGTGACACTGACGACAGTCAACAGTCTATTAAAGTGACAGAAACAGGGTTTACAGTCAGGGTACGACTACCTGCTGTTACGTTTGCTCTAGCTAACTTCAAACCACCTGAACACAGACTGCACTGCATAACAGATTCCCAAAAGTAAAGCCAAACAACTGTAGCCCCCTCCATAGACAAACTGTATTATGGTTTATTAAGCCCAGCTTCTCCATGTAACCAGATGGGGCATGGGTCAACCAGAAAACGTAAACACATGCAGAAATAATTTTAATGAAACATGATTTCTGTCATGAAAATTAGTTCTTATCATACTGACTTATATCCAAGTAGTTGTTTTTTTAATTTTTTAGTTACTCAACGCTATAAAAAAATGGATATGACTCCATGATTGAGAGTTGTCTTGCCCCGGCAGCACTAAGTGCACAGTATTAAGCCTCTGTGAGCATAATTATTAGTTTGCTAACAAAAACACATTGTGCAATTTGTATTTTTGTTCGCATAAGCGGGCCGTACATCGACAGCACAGCTTCTCTATAGTAGACCCCTCTGCAGACTCTGCCTCCAACATAAGTCAATACCAGTGCAAGATATCTCATTGCGTAGGGTTGTTGGTTTCATTTTTGCCCATCTTTCCATACAGTCAATACATGTAACCGAGGAATATAAATCATTTCCATTATGGAGCAGTTTGTTTTCATAAATAACAGCAAAGATGTGATTGTAAGACCTGATGTGTTTGCATGATTTGCAATTATTCAAAGACTCTTCACATGCTACATTGTTGTATTCTTTAACATGCCTCCCATCTGTGTTTTCATGGAGTACCCATACATTTCCCCTTAGGCTATATATTCTGTGGAGTGAAATGCAGAAAGCTGAAGTGTGAAATTCATGCCATATGCTTGAGAGCATCTAAATCGAATGTACATTGTATTTATTCATTCTGACAGTGAACAGCATGGAAAACATCCAATAACCCCTCAAGCATCTTACACAGATGAGAGGCAAGATAACATATCAGCTTGATTTGGAGTATGTGGGAATATTTATTAAATTGGAAACATGTGTCTGGTGATAAGCTGAGATTTGGTCCTTGAGCACACACCCATGGTCTGTCTCCTTGGTGACAAGGACGAGAAGTCAGGTGTGCTCCTTCTGGTGGTTGGAAAGGCGTTGGAAAAATCGAGAGCTATATGATGGTCAGAGGAAATGATTCAATTACTTTCTCAACGGCTCTGCACAACAGGTTATTAATCAGCTCAACATGCAGCACTTGTTCATCAGATAAGCACGAGGCTGAGGTCTGTTTCAATCAGCGCTCGTACGGCGTTGGCATGACGCTGATGGTGCTGATAGAGATGCGCTGGCATGGCGAATATCATATCTGACGTTGAAAGGCCAGTGGAAAACACACTGGGGAGATTTTACAGTGGCACTGTCTAGCTAACAGCTTCATTTAAATAAAAGATATTTTATTTCAGTTACCAGCTGCTCTCTGAAAAACGCAAGTTTCCATTCTTTCTGCATGCCACGAAAACCTTTCAATTACCATTTCAACTCGCATTCAATACTACTTAACCTGAACCTGACTCCAGGCTTTGCTGTCCTATTAAGATAATACTGAGGGACATACCCACCCAGCAGCTCCAATCCAGCTTTTACAAGAACACTCCAACCTGGAGGCTTCCTCTTATTTCTAATACCTGAAAAGTCCACCTCAGTTTGGTTTTTCTGACACTCTGCATTTTGTTAATTTAGTCAGTTCTCATCTGATTGTGATTGTAGTCTTTATGTTATGTAACTATTGGTGT